GAAGGAAGGAAGGAAGGAAGGAAGGAAGGAAGGAAGGAAGGAAGGAAACAGAGAGTGGAGGAAGGAAAGAAAAAGGAAGGAAAAGGGGAAGGAAGATGGAGAGAGAAGGGAGAGAGGAAGAAAGGAAGATGAAGAGAGAAGGGGGGAAGGAAGGAAGGAAGGAAGGAAGGAGGGAGGGAGGGAGGGAGGGAGGGAGGGAGGAAGGAAAGAAGGAAACAGAGAAGGGAGGAAGGAAGGAAAACGGAAGGAAAAAAGGAAGGAAAATGGAGAGAGAAGGGAGAGAGGAAGAAAGGAAGACCAAGAGAGAAGGAGGGAGGGAGGGAGGGAGGGAAGGAAGGAAGGAAGGAAGGAAGGAAGGAAGGAAGGAAGGAAGGAAGGAAGGAAGGAAGGAAGGAAGGAAACAAACAGTGGAGGAAGGAAAGAAAAAGGAAGGAAAAAGGGAAGGAAGATGGAGAGAGAAGGGAGAGAGGAAGAAAGGAAGTTGAAGAGAGAAGGAAGGAAGGAAGGAAGGAAGGAAGGAAGGAAGGAAGGAAGGAAGGAACGTTCTGGACCACCTCTCCATTTCCTTCTCTCTTTGTACCTTCCTACAGGGAGGAAAAGAATATTCTGGAAGCTGCTGGTAATGGAGCCTCTGTCTCTGTGGGGCTGGTGGCCAACGTTGCAGCCAACCTCATTGCCTTCCTGGCTTTGCTGGCATTCATCAACGCTGCCCTCAGTTGGCTAGGAGGCATGGTCAACGTGCCCCAACTCTCCTTCCAGGTATCTCCCACAAGACACACACACCCCAAGTTGTTTGTGACAGGATAATGAAAATATCAAGAGGCAGGAGGGGTTGTCTGGCTAAATGACGAGGATGTGAGATGCCCAGCCTGACGAGAATCATCTTTGGGAGCAGAAGACCACCTCATTTCTTCTACTAGTTCTGGGTTTCTACAATCCATTGTTATTTGAGCGTGCTCCCTTGTAACAATGGAATTGAGGTTCAAACCTTTGGGCCAGTATCAAATTAACCCTGATTTAAGGTGTGTACTAGGCCCAATTTTCAACCATCATTTGTTTCAGCGGCTAGTCCAGCTAGAAGCTGTGTCCCACACTCGCAAGGCACACACCCTAATCTTGTGGTGTCTAACGGTGGAAACGTGTTGTCAGCTTTGGAAGCCATATTAGCAGCAGGAGCTTCCATACAGCCACATTCTTGCGCTTGGGAAATTGCATTATGCATTATGCAATGCTAATATTTCAACTAGACTTTTGTCAAATTTCGGAGAGAGGGGGGGAGTAGAGGGGCCAATGGATGTGTACAGAGGAAGCCATGGCAGATGTCAAAAGATGTGATGACCCAGAGTATCTCAGAAATATAACAAAATCCAAAACATAACTAAAAGTCCTTTAATGCCTTCAACTTGGCTTCACTGTTTAATTGTTCACCGTGGAAGAGTCAAAATAACATTTCAAAGGCAAGAAACACAGTTCACATTCAAAGAGCCGATAACAAAGCAAAACCCCAAAACTAACCACATTGAATTAAAGTTCCTCGACAGACCAGGTTAGATAATGGCCAACTTCAGGAAGATAACCAGGAACAGTTCGTTGGAAGAACGCCAACCAAGATAAACCCTCTTTAGAAATCAAACACTGATTTATCTCCAGCGTCTGTTAGCACGCAGGTCCACACTCTCATGCAAATCTCCCACCTGCAACCCATGAAGAGGATCATGGCCATCTCCTCCTGAGTAGGCCACACTTTGCCCTGATCCTCTCCTCCCTGCGTGCCCTAGGATGGAGAGGGGATGGGCCTGGGTCCTCCTCTGACTGCTCAGCTGGCCTCTGCCCTTCCCCAGCCTCCTCCACCACCTCTGGAGCCACACTCCCACTCCCTGTTGGCTGTTCCTCCTCTTCCTCAGAGTCAGTCTCCACCAGGAGCATGACAAACGATGGCCAAAAGACCAACCACGATGAGTTAGCCAAGCACTTCATTTACAATGCTCTTAAAAGAATTGTCTTCTGGCTTTCAGCTGATCTGCTCCTACGTCCTGATGCCTTTAGCCTTCTTGTTAGGGGCCAGCTGGGAAGAATCTTTTCTGGTTGCTGAGATGCTGGGAGTCAAGTTCTTCTTGAATGAATTTGTGGCCTACCAGCAATTGTCGACCTACAAAAATAATCGTCTGATGGGTCTGCCCGAGTGGGATGGTTCTCAAAAGCAGTGGATTTCGGTGAGTACTGTTAGGGATACACCCTAGCAGTATCTGCAGGGCAGTCAGTCAGGCAGGCAAAATATGTGAGATAAACGTTTTTGTAGCTTACACTCAGTAAAACAGATACACAGTGCTAATTAAATAGTTTATTCCAGTAAGAATTATAGCATAGTCAAAACAGTCCATATATCATTCACTAGTTCAGTCCGTCCAGGGATTATTCAGTTGCAAATTCCAGTGTCGAAAAAGAGAGGTCAGTAAACTTACAAATATCAGTCCAGTGATATATCTCCTCGCAGTAGAGAGATATGAAGAACTCAAAAACTCCTCTTTTCCTTCAGCAACTCAGCAATAGGGGAAAACACGCAGCTAACAAACCATGCAATCCAGTAATTGTCAGTAATTGCCAGCAATCAATCAGGTTCTCTTGCTCCCTCTTATGGTGGTTTCACACCACACCCAAAATTACATGCTTTGCAGTTTTAAAGTGACACACACTTAAACTTACAATCATAGTTTATATATATTATTTTACCCAAACTACGTTAGGTAACCTATGTTATTCCTAACAAGTACCCTGGTCATCATACTGCATGGAAAAGAAAGCCCACTGCTCTTTTTCCTCCAAGCCCACCTACCCTACCCTCTTCTTGATTTTGTGAGAGCAATCTCAGAAAGAAAGTTAGGGATGTCCTGACTGGCGTGTGGTTACAAGAGCTTCAGTGGACTGTCCTTCTTAAGACCAATGATTTTCAACCTCGGCAACTTGGATTTCAACTTCCCCATGCTTTCTGGGGAATTCTGGGAGTTGAAGTCCACCCATTCTAAAGTTGTGGAATGGAACAATTCACCAATTCACCATGGCCAACTCGCCGTAGCCAACTCACTTCAGGACAACTTGCCACGGCCAACTCACTGTGTAATATCTTTATTAGTGGAACTCCTGTCCCACAGCAAGTTGGCTGTGGCAGGTTGGCAATAGTGAGTTGGCCATGGTGTGTTGGCCACAGTGAGTTGGCCATGGTGAATGGTCATAGGCCCCTAAAGTTGACTATCCTTGCTTGAGTACACAACAGCAAGTGCTGAGCAAAGTGGAAGACGCCAACTGGAAGAGGAATGAGTGGGTGGTGGATTTGTTCTTTATCACAACACTGATTACATTCTCTCTCTCTTTCTCTCTCTCCTTCCTTTAGCCCAGAGCTGAAACCATTGTAACCTTTGCTCTGTGTGGATTTGCCAACCAAAGCTCTATTGGGATCATGCTGGGTGGCTTGAGTAAGTGAACAAACCAGGGAGGAATGTGAAGACTTTATGGTGGGTGGAAAACATCTCTTTTTGCTACTGGTGGTGGGGAAAAGAATGGACTGCCCCATAGCTATAGCCTCTGTGGCTTAAGCATCCCAACCACTCCTTCCAAAGGCTTGGTTATCTTCAGTTACCAAAGTGGTTTGGTCCTGAAGAAGAGCAATTACAAAGTGTGTATATTCCCGTGACCCAGTTCCATGTGCTTTTCTTTTAACACAAAGCTTCGATGGCACCGCAACGCAAGGGTGACTTTTCTAGCATCGTTCTACGAGCTTTGCTCACCGGGTCCTGCGTCTCCTTAATCAACGCATGCCTTGCAGGTACTGCCTGGGGGAGGTTGATGGGGGAATGGGGCTAAAAGTAAAACAAGTGCCGTTGAGCCCCCAACTTTTATTGCTAAATGAAACCTGCGTTAAGTGAAACGTGTGTTATGTGTGAAGTGAGTTCGGACCCATTTCTTCAGACCTTTCTTGTTCAGTGTATCACTGCAGTTGGGAAGCTAGTAACACAGTTGTTAAGTGAACCTGGCTTCCCCATTGACTTTGCTTGTCAGAAGATCACGAAAGGGGATCATTGATGACGCTGCAACCGTCATAAATACGAGTCAGTTGACAAGCGCCTGAATTTCGATCCCGTGGTCATGGGGAAGGTGCAACGGTCATGTGAAAAATGGTCACAAGTCACTTTTTTCAGTGCCGTTGTAAGTTCAGTCACTAAAGGAACTGCTGTAAGTGGAGGACTCCCTGTATAGGGTTCTTACGTTCTCTCATTGTAAGCTTGTGTTTTTTCGGCATGCAGTTTCCTTTGCAACAATGCAGGCTGGTGGGTTTGGACCAGGGGTGGGAATCAAATTTCTTAACAACTGGTTCTGTGGTTGTGGACTAATTTGTGGGTGTGGCTTGGTGGGCATGGGTGGGCATGGCTTGCTGACTGGGCATGACTTGGTGGTCATGTGACTGGGTGGGCGTGGCTTGTATGTAAATATTATACTTATGCAACTATTGATTTTTTTATTTAAAAAAAGAGCAACTTTTACTCAAAATCAGGCAAAGCAGGCAGGCAGATTGAGTTGCTCTCAGAATCACAGATTCACTTAGAGATCTATCTATCTGCAATCTGCTACCTGAGTCTGCACTGAAAAATATAAGTTTCAGTCCTAAGGAAGGTTCAGCTCTGCTTTTAGATTAGCTAAAAATCAAGAAATCCAACGATTTCCTGCTTTCTAGCTAATATAAATCTCCCGGCGCAGCAGAACAGCTGATGGTTGGCGGGGGGAAAAGGAAAAATAGTAATTTACCAAAAATTAGGCGAAGGCACAAGGCAGGCAAGTTGGATGGCACGCATGCCAGGTAAGGATGAGTGGGCGAGGCAGGGCGGGGCCAGCCAGTGGCACGATTTGCCGGTTCTCTAAACTGGGCAGAATCGTAACAACCGGTTCTGTAGAACTGGTCCGACCAGGTAGAATCCCACCCCTGGTTTGGCCCCACAAGTTGGTGACTTCCTTTCTCTTTAAGCAAAGGTGTGGCTTTTCCCACAAGCTCCGAATTTCCTACCCACAGGAATCCTTTACGTGCCCAGAGAAGTGCCAGACTGTTTAGACTTCTTTAGCAACACCACCATCAACTCTACCAGCTACTTTCTGCATGAATGCTGTAAAAATTTGTTCAGGTGAGAGCTTGTGTGTGATATACACAGTGAAAGGAAGTACCTTGAAACCCCGATTCCTTTTGCTTTGCTTTTACACAGAGTAGGGCACATCATGGATCTTTCTACCAGCAAGGGCAAGTAGAAGAATGTCAGGACACAGAATTGCCACAGATGTGTGGGTCAATGCCGCTTTAATAGCTTTACACTTGGTTCTGTGCTTTAGAACAGTGGTCCCCAACCTTTTTTGTGCCGCGGCCTGGTACCGGCATCACAAAATCATCCGCGGCCCGGTACCGGCATCAGCACTCATGGCTAGGCGAGCTGAGCGACCGGCCAGCCAGCCGTCCCCCGCTTCTCCCCGCCACCTTCAACTCCTCCTTTGTACCTGTGTCGATGGGCTTCAGGATGGCTTCGGTACGGTCACTCAGCTTGCCTTGCCATGCGTGCTGAAAGAATCCTCGCGCCTTAGTTTTGTTCAAAGCCGCCCGCCCCCGCGATGAAACTAAGGCGCGAGGATTCTTTCAGCACCCAAATGCCGCTTTCTACCCGGAAAAGCTCACCGGAAGCACTTTTTCATCAAAACAATATGGCGGCGCCCAGCAAACCGGCAGCCCGGTAGAAATTGTTCCACGGACCGGTACCAGTCCGGGGACCGGTGGTTGGGGACCCCTGTTTTAGAAGACACCAGGGATGATATTGTCTGTGGTTTTATTTAACTTTAATTGCTACATGGAATGAGCTTCAGGTCACCGACACTAGGAAAAGCTTTTGTCATGGTAGTCCCCAAGTCCCTGCTTTCTCAGGAGGCAACTGGGCTTTATTTTTTTTCTTTTGAAGATGTTCCACTTGTCATCCAAAAAGCACCTTTAGGACAACCATGACCTGAACGACTGAGAATCTCTATGGACTTTGTAGTAGACACATATCATTAACCGATTCCTTCTGCATTGGCTGGCAAAGTACATCATCAAGAGCTTCCAAGGTGCCTTTGAGGTTCCCACGTTTGAAAACTGTGTTTTTGAAATCCTGGCCATCAAGGCAGCCCTAGAAATCCCTCGACTGTTGTGTATGCGGTCTTCCGTTTCCTTAAAAATACTTTTTTTAAAAAAATGACCATGAGATGGCACCCTTTTGCCTTAGGAAAAAAACACACACACGCACGCAACAGCTCAGCAAATCGATACTCAACTTCATAGTGGCTTGAACGATTCGACATCTCTTACGGCCAGTCATTTAATTTCCAGAAAGAAATATTGCAAATCTATCGAGCGCTGAGCAGATTTCCACATCACATTTGTTGCTTTAAAATAAAAAGTAAGATGATCTGCAAGGCAGGTTCTCGTCTTCCCTGTGTCAACATTATCCATGGAAAATTAGAGGCTGGAGAATCACATTATGGAGAACACAGAAAGCCGTGGTGACCCAGTGGTTAGAATGCAATATTGCAGGCTAGCTCTGCCCACAGCCGAGAGTTCGATCCTGACCGGCTCAAGGTTAACTCAGCCTTCCATCCTTCTGAGGTCGGTAAAACGAGGACCCAGATTGTTGGGGATACCACTCAGTGAGGGCTGTGAAACAGAGCAGCCCCCCCCCCCCACACACACACACCTTGGTGGACTGTTTTGATCCGTGCATTTGTGTGATTTTTTCGATCGGTGCATTTGTGTGATTTTGCACACTGCCTGGATCCTGCAAATGCATAGATGGGGCTTTGCATGGATTCTGGGCAGGCCATAGACCAGTGCTGGGTCCTGGCCCAAGGGTTGTGATCTCCTGAGGTAAAGTACTATGGGTCCATAAACAAGCGCTATTGTTACTAAACCCCCTAACCTCTTAACTTTTCTTTCCCACAGTTCTTTCTCCTTAGATGGCACGTGGGAGAACCTACATGCCAACACAACACAGCTCTATCTCCAGAAATGCTGCAGTTATTATAACTCCTCCGTATGTCTCTGGCCTTAACCGATGAAGAATGAGATGGTGGGGCAGAAGAGAACCATTCGATGAATACGTAGAAGATGAATAAAGGAGGGAGGTGGCAGTTTTCAGGATTGTGTGAGACCGTTTTCAGGATTGTGTGAGACAGGTTTAAAAAAAGGGTCAAGGAGCAACATTTCCCCTTCAACTGTAAAAGAGTTTTATCAACGCCGACGAAGAATGCAAAGAGCTCAAAGCTGCACTGTAATGTATGAAAAACATCCTCCATTGTTTAGGTTCGAAGTGCTCCATTGTGCAAATACAACACTCCTTTCAGAGGTTTGATTTTGTGACAATGCAAGAAAGGGGTCCAGCAGGGATGGCCCAGGCCAACTCTTTGTGTGTGTGTGTGTGTGTGTGTTTCGGCAATTGAACCCAAATGCAGTTGAACCCCAGGAGTTCACCCAGCCTTCTACTTCTGTTGGCTCTTCAGTCGCAGAGGTGACTATCTGCCTGCGTCTACCCACAGATAAGCCTGCTGAATTTCAATCAGATTTACACTCAGCCGGAAACCCGCACTCACCTCCGAGTTTCTTCCTAAGTAATGAAAAAAAAAAAAACACACCCTCAAATTTGCAGATGGCAGAATTACTTGTTTTGAAAATAAAACCGATGTCCTCACTCATGTTTTCCAAGAAACCGTGTTCTCAAGTCTACGCTTACCAAAGTCTTGGCAATCAGCCAGATTTCGACAGAGAAATGCGCGTACAGTACATAAAATTCAGAGAAGATCTCAGCTGCTTCCACAGACAAGTTACATCCTGTTTCACTTTATTCAGTAACTACTGAACCCCAAGTTGTTTATTATTATTATTATTTTTATTTTGAGTCAGCATTACACAACCCAATCAGTCCCAATTTCTCCCTGTATTCTTGTAAACCCTATAGAAGGGCATCAGGGGTGGGATTCAAATTTTTTAACAACCGGTTTTGTGGGTGTGGCTTAGTTGGTGGGCGTGGCTTGGTGGTCATGTGACTGGCTGGGCATGGCCAGCTCAACATCACTCACATCGAGGCACGCATCGCCTCGCCTGGCCTCTCATAACTGTGGGGATGCTGCAACAGTCATAAGTGTGAAAAATGGTCATAAGTCGCTTTTTTCCAGTGCCATTATAACTTTGAATGGTCACTCCACACAAGCAAAGTACCAGCAAAGGAGGAAAAAAAAAAACCTCCAGAGAAGTTCCTGAGACAGGAAGTCTAGTCCTGCCAAGAATGTAAAAAGGGTTAACGGAGAGGCAGTTTCTGTAAGCAACACCAGAATGTCTCCTTCCTGCCTTCCTTGCAGGATTAGCCCTGTAATTTCTTCTCACAACCAGTTCTCCGAACTGCTCAGAATGTTAACAACCGGTTCTAGCGAATGGATGCGAGCCTGTAGAATCCCACCCCTGGGAGGGCATACAACTTCATGCCTGCACCTTCAAAGGAGCTTTGAAGACAAGTTTTGGCCCTGCCACTTCAACATCACAGCTTCAGCAGAAGTTCCGATACATCAAATGAGGTTCTACATGGTTCGTTGGATGACCCACCACGGGGAAGAGTCCGCAAGGGGAACTCAGCTCCTTTCTTTCACTTGGGCAACTCAAGCACTAATATCAAGCCGGCAATATTTATAATGAATTGTTTTCCAATTGAATGGCGCAGGAAGAAAACGTTTTAGAAGGACCACCCATTAAACCTAGATGTCCCTCACCCGTCCCTGCTGCTTACATCGTTTTTTGGGGGTTCCTTTGGGGTTCCTAAGGTGTTCTCTGTCTAAGGGTATGATGGAAGACAATAGAGGTTTATTCACAAGTGGCAGGTCTCCAGATTGTGATGGTTTGTACAGTAGTCTTTGGTTGAAGGGACAGTCAATGGAGCACCTATGTTCAGGATCTTCTTGCTGAGTGACATCTCCATCCTACATGTAATTCAGTTGAGCTCTGGAGCAGTGGTGTGATTTAAAAAAAAATTATGACCTGTTCTGTGGGTGTGGCTTGGTGGGCATAGTGGACAAGACAGGAGAAGGGTACTGTAAAATCCCCATTCCCTCCCCACCCCACTAACCTGCTTTCCAGCTCCGTTCTCCTGTGCAGGGCAACCAAAGAAGACCCAGCCGATCAGCTGGGACTCAGGAGGCAGAGAATAGATGGGGCCAGGGCGAGTCAGAGGGGGTATTTGCCGGTTCTCCAAACTACTCAAAATTTCCGCTACCGGTTCTCCAGAACCGGTCAGAACCTGCTGAATACCCACCTCTGCTCTGGAGGCTAAAGGCAATTTATTTGACAGTAGGTGGCGCTTCAAATCTTGCTGGTTGAAGGCAACTACTACACACCTTGCATTTATCTGCTAAGGGGAAATTTGGAAAAAAAGCAAAATATATAAAGTGAACCAAGAGAAAGTTGTTCAAGAGAGAGATTTGGATCTAAAAGGCCTTCCCTAACTCTACATCCTCAAGAAGTGACGGATCTGTACTTCCAGAATTCCTAAGGTTTTGAATCCTGGCTAATCCCAACACATCTAGAAGAAGTTAGACTGAGGAAGACTGCAACCCAGACAGCACACTTATAGCTGTGTTCATACAATATCCTTGTCAGCTGTAAATTTAGGAACTGCACTCATACAGGCTGAACTTGGTTCTGGTTAAGCCAGTTTCTCTTTGGGAGGCATGTGGGGTGGGGTTGGTGTGTGAATCCAGCTTCTTTGGTTAACTTACAGGTCCGTGTATGATGTGAATCTAGCAAAAAAACCCACATTACTTCAGTAACCAAGTTCAGCCCGTGATGTGAATGCGAGCTATCTGTGATCATTCACAGGTAAGAAATATAACAGATCCGCTTTGAATATTCATGTCCCGGAGTCTCTGACAGCAAATGTGTCCCTTATTCTTTGATCTCTTGAGGGGAGATCAAAACATTAACTGAAATCAGAGGTTTCGGTGTGCAAAATATGTGCACCAGGAGTGGATGGAACAGGAAGTCGAGCAGGAAGGGTTTAATCTTCCGTTCATCACAGCAGCCTCAGTCGATGGGTCCAAATGTCCTCCCGTGACATGTTGGACGCTTGAATTGTCCCCAAACACTGCAAGGAGATACCGCCACGGCCACGTCGCATGGAGTCCCATCAAAGAAGCAGCCGAGGAGAAGGAAGAAGTCAACTCTTTTCTCCTAGGCGGTCTTTTGGGTGTGGGCGGGAAGAGAGCCTTGGGCCCAAGTTCATTCTCAAGAGTCTTGACCGGGGTGGTGGTTGGCCCGCTCCATCATGGGAAAGGCAGAGAGCGTTGGGTCGTTGGGAGGGCATTGCAGTCAAGGGCGTGACTCCTGTGTTACAGCCCAGCCACCTGGCGTCCAGACCCCATCTTGGATTTCAAACCTGGTGGGAGCCCTAAGAGAGGCTCGATATTCAAAGCACGGCCCAAGCACTAAGGAGAAACAGAACCACAGAGGGCCAGGCTCATGTGATGGGACTCTGGAGATGGGACTCTCTTGTAAGGTCGGTAGTGAGCACACGGTTGCATTCACACATCGTTCCTGAGGGGGTTCCAAACCTGCCCAGAGAGCGTGGCTCATTCCATCAAACACCACACACAGACCTCACACTTGGAAAGATGTGGGGGGAGCCAACAGGGCGACAAGGCAATCCCGCCCCCTTCCTCGGGCACACACAAGGTGTAGGGCTGAATGGCCCCCACCGCCCGTCACTGCAGCTGTCCTGCCTTGTTGCCGTCTCTTCCTTTGGGCCATGCTGTCGATTGTGATTCCGCCACATGTTCTGGACCTTTCCGGGCATTCTTGGGGCTTACAGACCCTTTTCTGGAAGCCTGGGGACTAGAGAGGCCTTTCTTCTGGAGCTGAGGGCTGGATTGGGCTGACGAGGATTTCCGGCCCACGTTGGGGCTCCGGGAACCTTTGCTTCTCGGGGGTGGTTGAGGAACCTCAAGGCTCTTGAGAGCAAGGAGCTCACAGTAACGGTTGCATTGATGGGAGGTCACAAAGTGATTGAGGAGGTTGGGGTAACAGCTCTCCTTCAGGCCTTGGTACCTGTCAGAGAAAGAAGGTTACTCCCCAAGGTACATTCCCCATCCATCTTTGACATGCTCGTAAATTATGGGATTCGCTGATGCTTCTCCCTGGTCTTCTATCTATTCATGGACTAGTTGGATACCCGTGCTTCGCTACGAAATGATGTGGTCAGGCTTACTTTGGGGGGAGGAAAATAAGGGAAAAAAATTCTGCCTCTGCCTATCAGCAACCATCGGTATTCCTCTGGCTAGCGTCCTGTCGGGGTGTGAGAGAGTTGAGGGCTGTTTGGAAACTGAGACAGTATTTGCTGTGTGAGCAAGAAGGAAACAGCAAGGAGCCTGGGCGTGGCTTAGCTCAACTATTCTGTACTAAAGCTGGTTGGTGCTGTGAAACTAAAACTGAAACTGAAACTCCTCTCCTCTGCTTGTGTTTTGCATTTGGAGGAGATTTCTTTTCAGGTGGGGAGGGGGAGTAGAACTCCTTAGCATCAGAGCATAATAATAATAATAATAATAATAATAATAATAATAATAATAATAATA